AAAGAAAAAGAAGAAGAAGAGGACTCTAAGCAAAATGGCTCCTAAGAAAGCCAAACATACTGAGAAGAGTTTTGGAGACTCCTCTTCATTCTCTTCATTCAATGAATATTTACTGGAAGACCAGGCCCTGAGCTGGGAATCAGGGACACACCTGTGAGCAAACTGACCTGATCCTGCCATGCTGGGAAACAGATGTTGATCAAAGGAGGCATCAATGTCAAACTGCAATTGTGGTGTGGGCAGTGAACCATTTATACCAGGGGACCTCAAGGAGCCTCAGAGGAACTACGGAAAGTTCTAAGGGGAGGAAATGTCTGACCTGAGATCTGAATAGGGGAAGCCGAGAGGGTGGGCTGGGGCAATGCAGGCAGAGGGAACTGTGCACTCATTAAACATCTCAGAGGAAGGAGCTTCCCCTCCACATCCTTCCCAGCCACTAGGAGAGGGCCTTGGAATTAGCCACGGATATGTAAAATTCAGGCCGATTTCTATGGCTCCATGGTGGGAGGCTTTCTAGAGCTTTCCCTCCAAACACTAGGTCTTCTGTCGGAAACCTACAGCAGCCTTCTGGGTTAATGCTGAGCAGTGGCTAGGGCAGCAGGAAATGTCCTTTCTGACATTCTAAGTCAGCCAGGGTGGGTCTTGACACTTTCAAATCTGTAAGGCTAACCATTCAGTCACCTTCTCATTCCTATGAGGCTGGGCTTAGTTTCTGGAAACATCCAAAGGGCAATCATGGCCCAGGGTGGTGACCAAGTAGAGATGCCTAATCTTAGTAACATCATCTCAGTCAGGCCAAAACTTGGTTTTACTCCTTATTTCCTTTCATCCTCACAGTGCACCAAGAAAATCCAGGCCTATCTCAGTTCTGCCCAGCTTCCTGAAGCGGGCACATCTAGCATTATTTTCTTGTATTTGTCCCCTTCTTAGGGCCCAGGCTGCAAAGAGCAGTCTTTCCAGGGATATTGCTTATCTCACTGTTAAATTTGTCTAACTTCTCTTTAAATGAATTAATACATGATACGCTCAAAGCACTAACAATGCCAGGCACACAGTACATCTTCGTTAGTTATTGCTGTTATAATTATTACTATTATCCACAAGGACTATAACTGTTTGCAGATTTAGACCTTATCTTAATCTTATTCATTCTTTTTTTTTTTTCAATCACAGAAAAGCATCAGGTACATGGCAGGCACCTGATAAATATTTCTCTATAAATGTAACTGAAATGTATTTTTAAATTCTTCAGTGACCTGAATAAACTGCTGACCAAATAACAAAACCAAAGGGACCCAGGAGGGTGTTTGAGAGCCCAGAGATCTGAGATTAAATCTAATACATTATTAGACATGGGACCTTGGAAAAAGTACTCAACCTCCTAGAGCCTCAGTTTCCTCATCTGTAAAACGGGAAAACAATGGCGACTAAGTCGCAGGTGGCTGTGAGGGTGAATGAATGAAACAATGCATGTAAAATGCTAGGCACAGTGTGGCACATTCAAAATAGTCAATAAATATTAATATTCCCTATTACCCCCACTCTTTGCAAGACTAAGAAAACATTCAACTGCCAATCTTTCCCAATATTATAAAACCACATCCATATTTTAAAAAGGTTTTGTGGAGACTGAAAAAAAATTCCTGTCGTGATTATTTCTAAACACGCTTAATAGGTGCCCACATGTTGGGGCAACTGGTACATAGCTGGATAGGAAATTACTTCCCAGCTATTATATAAACTTTTTATTTTCAAGAGACAGGAAATGGATTAACTGCAGCTGCTTACTGTAAGAAGTGACATTATACAACTTGTGCCCCAGTTCTTGCCCAAATAAAGACAATCTTCATAGAGGGCTCAAAGAGAAAGCAGCCCTGAGACCTCCATGTCCCACCTCTAGCACCTGGAGAGGGTGAGGGGTCTGTGCCGTGCTCCACTGTGTCACCTGAGGCTCACAGCACTGCTAAGACACTGGAGCCTTTACCCGTCTTGTAGAAGCTTCAGTTTCTTCAGAGAGATTAAGTAACCTGTCCAAAGCTACACAGATTACAGGTGTCAGAAGGTGGACTGTGAACCTAGGTGACAGCAAGCAGTATAGTAGGGAGGATAAAGGTTAGGCTGGCGAGACCCAGAAGGAGGAAATAGCCAGTAATTTTACTGCCCCATAAACTGCAAAACGGTCTCCGGAGAGTCCACATGACTAGGTGTCGCCTGCCTTCTTTCCACCTCCTCAGGTACCTCCAAGAGCCCTGCACAAGGATACACCAACAATGATGATAGCAGTTCCAGCGCACTCAGCCTTGTCCGAGGCACTGCTATGCACCATAATCAATCACCTCCTCCCATCCCCGCTGCAAGTCAGCTCGGGATCACCCCGATTCTCATTTAACGGACGACTCACAGACTGGGCCAAGGTCCCACAGGTGGCAGGCAGGGGCACGGGTTCTGGAACCCAGGCCTGCCTGGCAAGAGAGCCTTCGCTGTTATCCGCTGTGCCGGATAACAAACCTCCGTCCCTTATAAATCCATTCCTCTTTCTCTTCCAGATGCCAGAATGAGGGGTGTTCCCAGCCCCTGGCTAGGGGGTAAGGGAGGGTGAGCTGAGCAAGGCAAGCGATAGCGGGGGCAGAAAGAGCCCTCTCCCCAAAGTTTCGTGGCAAGCCGTCGGGTCCACTGTCCCCCACTCAACCCGGCTCCCCCAGACTGCGCGGGGGACCGGGAGGGAGGAGGAAGCGGGGCAAGAAGGGGAGCGGGTAGGAAACGCGGGCGGAGGCGGGGGCCAGAGTTACCGTTCCCAGGTCGCGAAGCCAGCGCGGTCTCAGTCCCTTGGCAGTCAAGGTCTGGGACAGCAGCAGCAAAAGCGAAAGTAAAAGCCCCAGCGCTGCGGAGGGAGGGGCCGCCTGGGGCGGGACGCGGGGCCAGGCAGGGCCGCTTGCACCGCCCCGGGTTCAGGGACCGTGCACTCCGCAAAGGGGGCCGCAACGCGAAGTCACCCGAGGGCGCCGCCCTCTGCAAAGCGGGTCTCACACAGTGGCCCGGGCCGCCACGCACGTCTGCAAGTTGGCCGCTCACGGGGGAGCGCGCTAGGCAAGTTCGCAGAGATGGGAAGAATCCCGCCAGCGCGCGCGGCCCCCGGAGAGCACCCTCTGCAAATCGGGCCGCGCTCGAAGAGACCCAAAGAGCGCAGACTTCGCAGCTGCTCTCAGTGATGGGGCGCCTGTCATGTCCCCTCCACGTCCCCCGCCCTGGGTCTAGACCTCGACCTAGGCCTCGGCACCAAAGCCCGGACCCAGGTCCCATAGTCAGCGGGCCCTTCCCCAGCCAGACCCGCGACCCCAGCCGCTACTGTTCGCGTCCCCCAGGGGCTCCGCGCCCGCATCTGCCCGCGTTACCTCCCCCGAGTCCGAGCCCCTCGGGCCAGCTGTGCGATCGCCGTGCTCTTCCGGCCTCCGGGACAGTGCTTTGCGGGGCGCCCCCTTCCCGCGGGCGTAGGACGCTAACTGCGCTCTTTGAGCGACTACCCAACGCGGCCAGCTCCTGGCGGTGCGGCGCCAGAGCCATTCAAGAAATATCTGTTGCGCGCCCCCACGTGTCGGGCACAGAGTATGTGTCTGCGAGAGTGCGAGAGAGAGCGCTTGCGCCATTCCGGCTCACGGACTCTGCCCGCACCCCACAGCCCTCCAACCACGCACCCACCCCGGGGGCTTGTAACCATGGCCTCCAATGCCTTTCTCCTCAGGACTCCACAAGGAAGCAACTAATTAACTCACACTAAAGTGTAAATATCTGAGAAGAAATTGTAGTTTTCTTCATTCCACAAGACACAGTATTTGCTTTTAAGAACTACCAAAGCCTTGAGCGAGATGAGTACAAGCTTAGCCGTGCGACATTAGGTAAGAACCGCATCTTATCTTTATGTTTGCTTGCGTTCGCTTGGGCCTGACACTTCGGTATTGTCTCTAAATTCTCACCAGGTAAGGACACTTGCTTGCTTGGCCTGAAAAAGGACTGGCCCCCGGCAAGTGTAAGGGAATACTTACAATTGATTCATGTCTGTGAAAATCCTGAATTCCTGAGTGTTTTTCGCCGGCAGTAACGCGGTAGCTAATATGGTGGCACTACTCTACTTAGTACTCACGTGCCTGAGATGTTGAGGTAAACGAAGCCATTTGAGCCATTAAGATAATTTAGTTTGTGAAGAAATTTGATTGTGAATCATTTGAGAAATGACCACTAGCCATCGCTTCTCCAGTTCACCGCAGGACAGCTCAGGCCAGGCTGTGATTTATACAGTCTGCACCAAGGCTATCCCAAGATTAACAGAAATGCTACTCTCAACACCTGCAGGCCCGAACCCAAACTCTGGCCCCTGCTGGGGTACCAGCAGGCTTCTGCTCAGGTCCAGGTAGAACCTCTTTCTTCCCTGAAAGGAGGAATTCGTGTTGTACTTGTTACCAATTGATTGCCTCCCAACTTAAAATTCACCCTTTTTGTCTGCTCTGTGAAAATTGAACTGGGCTCTTTAAGTGACTCTAACTGGGCTCCTTTGTCAGCTGCCTGATGTCAAGGTTTGTCAGACATGACAGGATGGAAAGAGTTTTGCTTCCTGGTTCTGGTGTGTCTGGGGTGCTCCTGCACAGTCAGGCTCCCGCAGAGGGGGTGGCCTCTCAGCACCGGCCTCCTATAGTGCACCTGGTGACAGAGCACCCAGCAGCCAGCCACTTCCCCTGACACTTCCTTCAGGTGGTTTTGTAGCAGGCTGCCTCCATGGAGATACTTCCCCATCAGCAGCTCTCTCTGGCACCTAAATGGTGGATTTCCAGAAAGTTCTAGAGGACGAATTTCTAGCAGGTTCCACTGGTGTGGCACCACAGCGACTTGTCTGTCTGTCACCTACTGAACCGGGGCTATACTCTTTCCAGCAAGGTGTGGATCTTAGCCCTGGGGGACAGCGTGAGCTGAGGGGATCTTCCTTGGGGCCCCCATCTCAGCTCTAAGGGTGGTGGCTAGCTATGTTATATTATGTTGTTTTAGGCTGAATTGTGTTTCTCCCAAATTCATATGTTGAGGTACTAACCCCCAGGACCTCAGAATGTGACTGTATTTGGAGATAGGGTTTTTAAAGACATAAAACAAGGTTGTTAAGGTGAGTCCTGATCCAGTATGACTGCTTCCTTTATAAGAGAAGGAGATTAGGACGCAGATACAGAGAGAAGACCATGTGAAGACACAGGGCGCATGTAGCCATCTACAAGCTGAGAGAGGCCTCAGAAGAAAGTAACCTTGCTGATGCCTTGATCTTGGACTTCTAGCGTCCAGAACTGGGAGAAAATAAATTCTGTTGTTTAAGCCACCCGGCTTGTGGTACTTTGTTGTAGCAGCCCTAGCAAACTAATAACGTATGTTATTTGCAAGTGTATTATATCTGCAATTGCTGTATTTTTGAGAGTTCTCTTGACTTCTGACTAGTCAATTCCCTGTTATAGTTTATAATTTGTTATATTAACATTTCCCTGTTCAGGTTACTGTGTGGTTTCTTGTTCCTGACTGGACCCAAGTAGATATAACTATTAAAGTCAAATAGCATATAGAGACAAATCTCTAAAATTAAAATGTTTTCTTTGGAAAAAAAGAATTATAATTTGGGATGCGATACATGCAGACTGGTGGTCTGGTACGTCTGAAGAACAAAGTGAAGGTTGGAGGTTTTATAAAAAGGAAAAATGTTATGTATTACTCTTCAAGAAAGTTTATTGTCACTAGTGAGGGTTTGAGAAGCTGGCAAGTTTTGACTGGTGAGTGACAGCGGCAGCTAAAAGTATCCCTAGAGTCACAGCAGGTTTTCCAGCAGCTATTGGATAAAACTGGTTTCAGGCTGCAGCAGGCAGTTTCAGCAGCCAGGCTTGAAGAGAATTATGTTATATGCCCTGAGTGCTTTTTTCTCTGGGCTGATCACCTTTGTTTCACTTGAGTATGACAAGAATGACCCAATTCGTGTGATCAACTTTGAGATACCTGTGTATCCCCAATCCAAGGGCTGCCTCATTTCTGATTCTGTGGCCTTCCGCAGTGGGAATATCCATTTCTTGACTCAGAAGGAAACCTCCACCCCAAGGGCTAACCCCAGCAGTTGGGTATTATTATTCACACTTGAATAAGATTCCACTGCAGACAGTCAAAGTCCAGCCAGATGGAGCTAAATTGATTCCTAATCCTTTCCTGCTCCCTCCCTCTCCCCAAGAGAATATCAGATCTGGTTGTTCCTGATGTCCTGTGAGCGACCCTTCAGACCAGGATTGACAAACTACAGCCTATGGGCCGCCTATTTTTGTACAGCAAACAAGCTAAGAATGCTTTTTACATTTTTAATGGGTGGAAAAAGAAGAAGAAGAAAAAGAAGATGCAACAGAGACTAATCATGTGTGACCTGCAAAACCTAAATATTTACAATCTGACTTTTTATAGAAAAAGTCTGTGGACCCCAATTTTAGACCAAAAGACACAGTCACTTCTCCAAAGCAAACAGTAACTTTCAACCGAAGAGTGGCCTCAAACCAGATTTAGGTTTGAGGGGAGGCAAAATATTTCTCTAATGTTCCCGCACACAGTGCAAACTTCTATAAACCAACAGATCACTTGCTCAACATCTCAGGGTGAAGCCTGGCCATTAGGTAACCTCACCAATGATCCAGTTTCCCCCTGGGCACTCTGCTGATTGGATAGTGCGTCAGACACCTTGGCCTCACCTGTCATAGGCCTTTGCCTACATGTGCCAGCCCAGCTTTGGTAGTGGCAACTAGCTCAATGTGGACTCTGGCCATCTTCACATGGGCACAACCAACAGTGTCTTCGGCCTCCGCTGCCCTTGGTGTCTTCGTGTTGATATTGAGGCAAGAGATGCTACAGGACTCCCTGGGCGCATACACAGCATGGAGGCAGAGGGGAGTTAACACATTTCACCTGTGGGAGACAGGGGCCAACAGATAATTTCTCCCCACTTCTCAGATAGCCTGAGTAGCAGCTGTTTATATGTCCCCTTGGAAGATGGAGATCAAGCGGTCCAATGCATATTACACCAGGTGGTGGCCACGGTGAGAACCAATCTTATACTGACTGCCCTCCCCTGTTTCTTGCCTTCTAACTCCTGCTCCCAGGATTACATTCGGAATAAAGTCCTTGCACATGAGCCTTTGCTTCAGGTTCTGTTTTCTGGAAAACCCGGGTTAGGACTGATGTTGTCTGAACCAATCCCTAAGGCCAGAGGAACCTGGTGTGCTCACTGGCTTAGGCTTGGACGGCCTGGTGTGATCATTGTGAAGAGGGAGGGGCCTAGGTCAAGGAAGAAGAGGGGCCACACACAACATGAAGGGGTGGTGTGGACCGACCCAGGGTCTACCAAGCAGGGGAAGGCTGTGTCTGCCTTACCCTGACAATGAGCATTTACTTCCAGTTGCTTAAACCGTCCCATTTCCAGTTCTGTGGGCTGTTCCTTTTTATAATTTCTGATATCTAATAAAACGGAAGTGATGGTACAAGTCAATTGGAACATCTTTCATTTTGGTAATCCTTGTTTTCACAAATGTGACTGAGAATTTGTAGCAGCTGCAGGTTGTAATCACAACCTCAGGCAGAGAAGAACCGTCGCACAGCTTTTCCTTGAAATGAAGCCTACCCTGATTTCTCAGCCCTTTGGAGTGGGGAAAGTTCATTCTTGGTGGTTGCTGGGGCTTCCACCCAGTCCCCAGGTAAGGCTCGAGAAGTCTCGTACAGAGCAAAACATCCGGGGACCCTTTGGGTCTTTGTCCTGTGCCAGTTGCTGTTCCCATTTGCTCAGGCTGGTGGCAGCCCTGCTGCCCTGATCACATTTCAGGGTGGGAGTCCTTGCTGGGCCTGGAGTCCCTGCTCTGAGCTCCCTCCAGGTGCTGAGAGAGCTGCCTCTTGCCCCAAATGGGAAAACCTCAGACTCCACCCTCCCCTTAGTCTCATGTGAGCATGAACACTACTTTTCTTCATCTACTTGAGAGCTTCCTCCTCCGCCCTGGCTATTTCAACTCAACACAAAAATAGTCCTGGCCTCTCTCCACCCTACCTGCAGAAACCAGCCTAATCTCAGAGCATTTAGGTCAGAGGTCACAAATTGGTGGCCTGCCAGCCAAATAGCCCTGTTTTATTGTTTTACATACAAAACTGGAAATTTCATGTGTAAATGCAGATTCTGGCTTCTCGGGAAAAACCAGAATATTCGGCAATGCTGGACACTGATTCTTTCATAACAACGGTTGGCTGGGACTGGGGAGCGGTTGGTTGTCTCAGATGGCGTGTGTGTTCACACCTTGGTTCCTGCCATCACCTAGAGCTTCACACCTGGCCTCTGTAGGCATTTTGTGCGTATTGAATGTATTTCATTAATTCAATAAATCCTTATTGAG